CGCTGCCCACCCACCCCCTACCCCAGCATGGTAATTATGCTGTCATCTTTATGCAGGCAGTCCACAATCTAATGATACAACATTTCTCCTGCATTCTATATATGTGTGTGTGTGTGTGTGTGTGTGTGTGTGTGTGTGTGTGTGTGTGTGTTTCGGGGGGGATTGCGGGGGATGGTGGGGGAACAGAGAAACAGGGAGCAACTGAGTAGCTATGGTCGGTGGGGTGAGGAGTAAGAGAAGAAAAGTGGTGGGATTACGGATTTCATGGCTGGAGCATAGCCAACCCCAGCCCTAGGGCCTGAAGGAAGGGTGTATGTGGACTACAAGGCATGCTGATGAAGCAAAGAGCAAGAGAATTCAGCTGCTGGGAAAGAGAAAGGGAACAAGCATTTATTTATTTATTTTAGTCTTTGTATCTATTTTTTGGGGGGTTAATCTTTTTAAATTTTTATTTTCAGTTCCAAATTCTCTTCCTTGACCCCCCCCACCCATTGAGAAGGCAAGAAATAATACATCCATTACACAGAAGAAGTCATACAAAACATATTCCCACATATTTCTCTGATTTATAAAAAATAAAAGCTAGAAAAATAAAGTGAAAAAAATATATGCGTCAATTTACATTCAGAGTTCATCAGTTTACTCTCTGGAAGTGCATAGCATTTTCATGATGACTCCTTTGGAATTGTCTTGGAGCATTATCTTGATCAGAGTGGCTAAATATTCATAGATAATCATCGCTACAATATTGCCATTGCTGTGTACAATGTTCTTCTGGTTCTGCTCACTTCACTTTGCATCAATTCATGTTTTTCCCAGGTTTTTCTGAAACCATCCTTCTCATCATTTCTTATAGTACAATAGTATTCCATATAAATCATAGACCACAACTTGTTCAGCTATTCCCCAATTGATGGAAACTTCTTTAATTTCTAAAACTTTGACACCACAAAAAGAGCCGCAATAAATATTTTTGTATATATAGGTCCTTTTCCTTTACCTTTAATTTCTTTGGGGTACAGACCTAATAGTGGTATTGCTGGATCTAATGGTATGCACAGTTTTGTAGCCCTTTGGGTATAGTTCCAAATTCTCCAGAATGATTGGATCAGTTCACACAGTTCTGCCAACAGTGTTTTTCCATATCCCTTTCAGCATTTGTAATTTTCCTTTTCTATCATGTTAGCCAATCTGATGTGTGTGAAGTGGTACCTCAGAATTGTTTTAATTTACACTTCTCTAATTATTAATGATTTACAGCATTTTTTCATATGACTATTGATAGCTTTGATCTCTTCTTCTGAAGACTGCCAGAAAAAGCATTTATTAAACACCTAGATGTTAGCTATTGTGGTAAGTACTTTACAAATTATCACATTTGATCCTCACAACAACCCTAGGAGGTAGGGGCCATTATTATCACCATTTTAGAGTTGGGGAAACTGAGGTAGGCAGAGATTAAGTGACTTGCCAAGGATTATACAACTAGTAAGTGTCTGAAACTGGTTCTGAACTCAGCTCTTCCTGACTACAATGCTCTATCCACTGTACCACCTAGCTACTGGGTTGTAGGCTTCAAGGTATTTGACTTTTTCATGTGTGTGACTGTCAGCTTGTGTTTTTGTGATGATCAGTAAGTAGCACAAACTATCTGGTGGAACATTAAGGACTGACACTAATTATGAATTCTAGAAACATAGTAAAGTGAGAAGAAAACAGCTAAAATTTGGTTTGTCTGTGTAAAAGTCTATATAAAGTTGGGACAGTTAGGTGGTGAGGTGCACAGAGAGCCGGGCTGGGAGTTAAGAAGACTCATCTTCCTGAGTTAAAATCTGGCCTCAGACACTTATTACATGTGTTACCCTGGGCAAGTCACTTAACCCTGTTTGCCTCAGTTTCCCATATGTAAAATGAGAAAGGAAATGGCAAACTACTCCAGCCAGTATCTTTGCCAAGAAAATGCCAAATGGAGTCACAAAGAGTTGGGCACGTCTGAACAGCAGCAACTATATAAAAGTAATACCAATAGCACTCATATGTATGAACTGATTACCTAAGGACTATGCAAGACAATAATGATTATACATATATATATATATATGTATGTATATACATATATGTACACATATATTATAAAGTGTGTAGGATTGACTATTGTAAGCTCAATTTTTTAAAATAGTAAGTTCTATAAATTTATACTATCTATAAAGCAGCAGGCAACTTAATCATCTGCCCACAATTTAATGAACATTTATTGAGATACATTGATACTTCCACATAGTAGGGTGGAGTTTGTTCCATGGTGCTGGAATATAAGGCAGAAGTTTTAGGGTGATGCCAAGTAAGCCACTGGGGCTTCGTATTCCACCATTAAATAATGATGTTGTTTATCCTTGCTTGAAGAACACCAAAATGAGGTCACGATGTTTGTAACGTACAGTGTGTCTGAATATGGGTAGTCAGACCAAGACGAGCTTGGAAGACTTGACCACAGATTGGGCACAAATAGTCTGTATAACTATTTGGGGGAGAGGTATCTTTAAATTTGTGTCTCACATTTCTTTTGAGTTACTGAAATTCTGAAATCAAAATCATAGAGCACAGGGCCTCCTCAGACACAGGCATGCCATGCTGGACAGTTCTGTGCCAGTGTCTCCCATGTCTCACAATTGATAACTGAAGTTCTTCAGAGATCTTGAGAGTGTCCTTGTATTGCTTCTTCTAACCTCCATGTAAGCTCTTGCCTTGTGTGAGTTCTCTATAAAATGGTCTTTTAGGCAAACATATGTTTGGTAATTGAACAACTTGACCAGTTTATCAGAGTTCGCTCTCTGCAGTAGAGTTTCAATGCTTGGCAGTTCAGCTCGAGAAAGGACTCCGATGTCCAGTACCTTAACTTGTCGAGTGAGCTTCAGAATCTTCCTAACACAATTCAAATGGAAGCAGTTCAATTTCTGGCAAGGCTCTGGTAGACTGTCCAGGCATCACAGGTTTGGTAGGCAGCCTAATACCTCTTCTCTCCCACACTTTCTTTCAGAGCCTCCCAAACACTGAGCTGGCTCTGGCAATGCGTGTGTCAACTTCATCATCTGTATGTACATGCCCAGAAAGTATACTGTCAAGGTAAATGAACTTATCCACAGCATTCAAAATTTCTCCACCATTAAATAATGGTAACAACAACAACAGCAACAGCAACAGGTAATTCTCTAGACATTAGCAAATTGCCATATTGCCATTACATTCTGGATAGTCTGACTAAGCCCCAAGCTCAGTACAGATTTATGTCAGAAGACCAGAGAGGGTTGCTATTGTCAGGAATGCTAAGCAAAGACAAGTGATTTGGTTGTTGGCAACTATCCATAATAAAAATAGGAATTTAAAACAAATTCTTATTCAAGGGTTGCTTTCGTATATGAACCAGGAACATTATGAGGGATAAGGAAAGCCTCATCATCCCAGAACCATTCATATCTTTGAGGTTTGTTTTTTTTTTGATTGAGTCCTTGAAATGGTTGGAGGGGATACAAACTAATAATCCTAGATTTGACAGGAATCAAAAGGAATTTCCTAACTCTAAGTCAGATGGTTGCCTGCGGCCAAGGACTTTAAGCCTGTAGCAAAAGAAGAGTTAGTAAAAAGAATAGATTTAATCCTAGCTTGCTGCTGTCTACCTGAAGGTGGCTGTCAAAGTGATGATGAAGCAGTCAGCTTCGTCATGTATAAAATGTGGATAATAATAGCATCTACATCACAGGATTGTTGTGAGAATCAAATGAGATAACATGTGTACAGCGCTTTACGTATCCGAAAGGGCTATGTAAATGTTACTTATTATTATGAAGGTGATGGTATGGAGCTACTTGACTAGAAGAACTCAACTCTTTCTTGCAAGAAAGAGGCTTAGCAATAGTTACACCCCAAGAGTAAAAGCAGAGCACAGAAGATAGCCCCAAAAGGTGAAGACCACAGATGATTCCAGAGAGTAGTTCAGCTAGAAACATCAGATCTAAAGACCAGCAAAGATTTTTCAGCAGAGATAGGCATGATGAGATCACCAGAGAACACTGGTTGAGTCTGCAGGGTCAGTTGCTTTGGAGATGTATTGCCCTGGCCACATGCATCCCTATGGTTGCATTCTTCATTCATGTTTCTGAGCTACATGGAATTTCTGTTATGTGTTCATTCCCACAACCAATAGTATGGAATCCTATGAGAGAATATATCCCTGCGGATATGGGGTGTCTTTTCTTTTCATTTAATTTGCTAAGCTATTTTGATTAAATGTCTTTGGCTTTCAAACAATGTGTCCCTTCTGGTTGACTTAGCAAAACAACACATTAGTGGTCTCATTAACTACAGCTTTTTTTTTTATTAATTTATTTTGAATTATCAACAATCACTTCCATAAACTTTTGAGATTTAAATTTTTCTCCCTCTCCCTTCCTACCTCCCTCCCCTAGTGTGCAATCTGATATAGGTTGTACATATACATTCCTATTAAACATATTTCACATTAGTGATGTTGTAAGTATGAATTAGAACCAATAGGAGGAACCACCACAAGAGGAAACAAAACACAACAGAAGGGAAAAAAATAGCAAATAGTAAGCTTCAATCTGCATTCAAACTCCATAGTTCTTTCTCTTTGTGGATAGCATTTACCATCACAAGGCCTTTGGAGATGTCTTAGATCCTTGTATTGCTGAGAAGGGTTCAGTTTATCAATATTAGTCATCGCACAGAATGGCTGTTATTGTGTACAGTGTTCTCCTGGTTCTGCTCACTTCACTCAGCAACAGACCAAGTCTTTCCAGGTTTTTCTGAAGTCAGCCTGTTCATCATTTCTTATAGTACAATAGTATTCCATCACATTTATATACCACAACTTGCTCCGCCATTCCCCAGTTGATGGGCATCCTCTCAATTTCCAATTCTTTGCCACCACAAAAAGAGCTGCTATGAATATTTTTGTACATGTGGGTCCTTTTCCCATTTGTATGATCTCTCTGGGATATAGCCTAGAAGTGCTATTGCTGGGTCAAAGGGTATGCACATTTTTATAGCTCTTTGGGCTTATTAACTATAGCTTTTGATGAGTGCCAACCTAGGATGTGGTTTGAATCCTGACTAGCTTCCTGAGAGGCCCCATGTGGTCAAGGGGTGGGGCTAGGGGGACTACTTGGGGACCTCAGGTGTTACTCTTAAAAATCTTTCTTGTTTCAAGGCCTGTCTCAGTAATGAACTGGATCAGGTCACAGTCTTCAGACCTGTAACCTCCCATTCAACATCCCTAAAGACTTAGGATGTCAGCTTAGTAGCGTGGCATAGGGTCACTTAAAATCTAAATTCACAACATAGGCAGCCTCACACTTTGCTTTCCAGGAAGTTCCCATGTTGGAGGACAATGACTTCTACATTTCCAGACTCCTGCATATTTCCACAGAGAGGTCATAAGAAGGGTGACTCTTCTTCCCTGCCAGACCACTGGCTTATGTCACAAGAGGACCTCTGTAAGTTCTCCCAGCAGGTTTTGAGCTCTGCTGAAAGGGAACTGTGTTTTCCCAGTCAACAATCAGTCAACCATGTTGAACAATTAAAGTGGCTCATATAAGGCCCGGGAAGTTGCCAATAAGATAAGAATTTGGTATCATATTACAGCCTTGAATTTTTTTTAACTCTATACCAAGTTGGATTTGCCTTGAGTTTCAAGACAAGGGGAAGTGGGTGTAACCAGTAAATTTATAGAACCACTTCCCAGGGTAATTTCTAATGTTTAGCCATAAATTTTCTAGAAGTATAAAAGCAGTTACTTTATCAATGCCCCACCTCCCCCCAGCACACAAACAGGTCCTCACACCACAGCCTTGTGGAAAGGAAGGGAGTGAGGGTGAGGCTTACCATACATGGAACAGGCTGGTGCCTTATCTCTCTAGCTTGCCCCAGGGAGTGATGGAGACTGATGAAAGTGTCCTTCCCTCTTCCTTTTCTCCCTGCTTTTGTGTTCAATTTCTTTGGACATGTGCTTTCGTTGCCAGACTATGTTCTGTGACAACAGCTTCAATTCTCTCTCCATCACCCAAGCCAGAGCAACAAAGAAAAATGTTCTCAGACCCACATGTAATGTTTTTCTTGAAACTGAGAGGAGAGACAGACAGACAGACAGAGAGACAGAGAGAGACAGAGACAGAGACACAGAAAGAGACAGAGACACGAGAGAGACTGAGACAGAAAGAGTCATAAGAATGCATTCTGCTACACTGTGACAGGAAATTCAAAACAACAACAAAAAAAAGAAGGCTGGTGGGGGTGGAGAGTCCATAAAGAAGTCTCCAGGGGTCGTAGGAAATAATAGAACACATGAGAAATAGAACAAAAAAAAATTGCTGTGATGCCAAGAATAGTTTTAGAAGCAATGCCTTCTGTGCCATTTTACTTGCTGGTAGAATCCTGCTTGGGGGAATAATCCTACATGTCTAGCACAAGGTTTTGTACATAATGGGCACAAAATAAACATCTGTGGAATTGAATCTGAGAAAGCATGCTATAATGGGAAAAATGCTGTTTCTGGAGCCAGAGGGCCTGAGTTCCAACCCCACTCCTGACACCTCTGGACGGGTGATCGCAGGTAAGTCACGCCATTCTCTCTAGGGCATGGCTTCCTCATCTGTAAAATGAGAGGATTTGACTAGATAGTTTCTTTTGAGCTCTAGATCTGTGATCTTCCAGATTGCTCACTAGGTTTGTTCCTGAGCACTTAGCCCAATGCCTGGCACATAGTGCATGCTTAATAAATGCTGGCTTTCATGGGGAAAATCCATTTTCTTTAAGATTGTATGTGATACAGCAGGTTGGATCTTGAAATTAAACTGTTAACAGCATGCTGATAGTTTTCCAGAATGCTCCCAGACAGTTTTGGGGCTCTTGATATTTTGTTTTCGTAATGCTGTTTAATTATAGCACAATGCAAAGGCACTGAACCAACCTGATAAGCACTCACACCTTTACCTCTCCTACCCTGGGTGTGGACCTGCATCCCAGATGGAGACTTATTGCTGTTCCAGTGGACAGAAGGTATTCATCTGCCACAGCTGGGGGCTGGAGGTTTGAGACTTCTTTAATTAAGTTAGTTTGGTTTTCTAATCAACTGTTTCCCTAGCTACCTGGCCACCAGATTGCTGGGACTTGTTGAGTCATTTCCAGTCATATCTGACTCTTCATGAACCCATTTGGGGTTTTCTTGGCAAAGATAGCAGAGTAGTTTGCCATTTCCTTCTCCAGCTCATTTTACAGATGAGGAAACTGAGGTAAACAGGGTTAACTGACTTGCCCAGGGTCATGCAGCTAGTAAGTGTTGAGGCCAGATTTGAACTCAGAAAGATGAGTCTTCCTGATTCCAGGCCCAGCACTCTATCCACTGTGCCACTGGTTACCCCTGGTAAGAGTTAGAGGCAGAATTATAACTCATATCTTCCCCACTCCAAGTCCAGGGTGCTGTCCATTTGAACATGCTGCTAGCCTTATCCTAAGGCACAGTAATGAGAGCCTTTTCTTGGAAGAGCTAATTTACTTTTGAATAAACATTTCAAGGAAACTCAGTTTGGGATGGACCTCAGAGGCCATTTAGTTAAACTAACCATTCCCAAAAGTAGTCATCAAGCCTGCGCCTGAAGAAGGCAGCTCACTGTACTTCTAGTCAGCTCTAAATATTAGGAAGTTCTTCTCTACATTGAGCCAAAACCACCTGCGCAAATGGCTGCTAGTACCACACTCTGGTGCCAAGCTAAGTAAAATAAATCCTTCCCTGTGACAGCCCTCTACTTACTTGAAGACAGCTGACCCATCCCTCCTGATTCTTTTCTTCTCCAGGCTAACCTTGCCCTGGCCTTTTATTTCTTCTCCTGCGGTCATTGCTCCCATCTCCAGTTCCCTCACCATCACATGATTTTCTTCCTTTAAATACACTACAAGATATCAATGTGCTTTGTGAAATGTGACTCCTGGCAATGACCACCACACTCTAGATGTGGAGTGACCATTGCAGAGGACAGAGGGACTATCACCTCTCCCTCGTTCTGGGCACTGTTCATTGAGCCCATGATTTTACTCACCACTTCAGAGCCTCATCTAAAGACTCCAGGGGTTCTCCCTTTCAAGATGATTAAATTCATCACTAGATGGCACAGTAGATTGAGAACTAGGGCTGGAGTCAGGAAGATTCCTCTTCCTGAGTTCAAATTTGGCCTTAGATACTCATTAGCTCTGTGACCCTGGGCAAGTCATCTAACCCTGTTTGCCTCAGTTTCCTCATCTGTCAAATGAGCTAGAGAAGGAAACGGCAAACCATTCCAGTATCTCTGCCAAGAAAATCCCAAATGGGGTCATGAAGAGTCATACGTGACTGAAAACAACTGAACAAGTTCATCACTGAGTGAAACTCTCACTTTGGAGATGTATTGCCCTGGCCCCACGCATCCCTTAAGTAAGAATGAGGGATGAATCTTAGTGATGAACTGCATATAGATCACAGTCTTCAGACCCACACTTCCCCATTTAACGTCCCTAAAGACTTGGAATGGCAGCTAAGTCACAAGGCATAGGGGTCACTTAGAATCCAAATGTACAACGTAGGCAGCCTCACACTTTGCTTTCCAAGAAGTTCCCAAGTTGGAGGACAATGACTTCTGCATTTCTAGACTCATGCACATTTCTACTCATGCACTTGGGGAAGTGAAGGTTAGTGAGTTGGGACAGGTGAGAGCTTGCTCAGGTATTAGGCATCCACTTCTTAGACCACCTGAGATCACTTCCATGTTGCTTCAAAATCTGTTGTCAGTAGAGCAGTGACAATGATGTAAACAGAGTAAGTGAATGACAGGAGCTTTAGCTTCACACCCTGCCTGCCCCACTCAGTCTATGTGTGTTTGAGTGTCGGGGCAAGAGCTTATCTTTGTACACCATGTCTTGTATCAAGCCCATCCCAAGAAGCCAAATGGTATAGCGGATATAGTGTTGACTTTGAAGTCAGGAAGACGCAAGTCCAAATTCTGTCTCTGACATCCACTAGCTCTGTGACCACACGTTAAGTCACATCATTTCTCTGTGCCTCAGTTTCCTCACCTGAAAAAATAAGGATAATACAAGATACCTCACAGGATTAATGCGAAGCTGAAATGAGATCATGCTTAAAAATCATTTTGTAAATTGTAAAGCACTATAAAAGTGTCAGTTATTATTATTTTAGGAGGAGGCTATAAAGGAAGGAAGAGTATTCCCTGCCTCCACCAAGTCCACTGCTCCCTCCCCACCCCACCAAAAACATCATGAAGCAAGTAGAAAATGCCTTTTTTCCATGTAGGCAATCAGATTGTTATTTGGGGTCTCTTGTTGAAAAAATGCAATGTGGAATAGGTGCAAAGTCTTAGTGTGATTTGACTATTGAAATTATCCCATCCCTCAAGAGGTCATCAAGAGAGGAAAGGGATTGTGTAAGCCCCTGGTTAGCCAGCTGTACTATTTCTTTCATTTTCCAGTCTGAGACTGAATTTTAAAAATAAAAACTGCTGCCTTGCTTTATGTGTTCAATCTCCCAACGAGCCACCAAGCAGCTATTGTGCTCTCCCAGTCCAATGGACATATATCTTGTAGAGACACATGTGTCCAAAGTCAGGATATTGTAGAGGAAACTTGAGCCAAGTGCCTGCACAGGGACAGTCATCACCACATAATTCCTTGCAGAAGAATAGAAAGCCAGTCACCGGGTAGCAGCGCATGGTCCCCGAAGGACATGTTGCCATTTATTTTCCGCGTGATTATTTTCCATTACATGCTGTGCAAGAGACATTTCTGAATGTTATCTTACTTTCTTTTCATGTCCCTTCATTTGCTCAGCCCCCAGAGGCACTCCCAGACTCCAGGCCACATTCAGCAATGAAAACTCAGCAAGTCTGAAGTTTTTGGAGGCCTGAACAAAGATTTCCAGACATGCCAGGAAGTGAGCGCTAGGTTCTGTGGATGGGACCAAAATTCAGGAGCTTCCTCAGGGGTCCAAGGCAGGTGTGTTTGTATAGTGGAAGGGAAACTGAGAATGTTTCCTTTGGGAACAGCCCCTCTTCAAAGGTTGTCACCCGTGCCGGGTTAAAAGTTCATGTGTTTTCTTCCTCGGCTGTCGTGGTTCTTCAACTGCGCCCACTTTGAGACCCTCGGACCTGCTTTGTAGCTTCCCTATGCCTTTGAAGGCAGCTTCCTGTGTTTTGTCTAAATACAAGAGGTTACCCTCCTGCAGGGTCACTTACATTGTTCCTGGCAAAGCACTCACTCTCACGGGAGAGTCTGAGGTCCCTCTATAAACAAATGGTCAACTTCCTATTGTCCACTTTTATTTAGCCACTGGGACTTCTCTTGGACTGAGGGAGTAGAGTTGGTCTCTGGGTTTTTATTGAATGTTCATGGCATAGAAATTGATACTATATAGGGATGAAAGCTTAGGAACATGATTTGGAGATTGTTTGATCTGGGGGTTCATTAGTTCATTCCACCTTAAACAGGCAAGTCTTGTAAGTCAAGAGCTAAGATCCTTTGTTTTCGGTCTGGTACAGTTCAGTATGAAGGAAGGAAGGAAGGAGAGAAACAAACAAGCATTTATTAAGTACCTACTATGTGCCAGGCATTTTACTGGGTACTAGGGATACACATAAAAATGTGTGATAGTTTCTTCCCTCCAGAGGCTTATATTCTAATAGGAGTACGACACAAACAGGCCAAGGGATCTCACAGGGGTTTTGGTCTGAATGGCCACAGGGATTAAGAGTGGAGTCATAGGCCATCTGACTGTCACATCCTGTCCAGAAGTAATGATATCCATAGGAATTTCTAAATGTTCTATCAAGGCTCAGTGGGGGCATTTAACAACAGTTGTCATGTCCTTTTCTTAGACCTCGACCTCCTTTTAAAACTTTATTCCTCAAGTCCTCCCTGCAATAACTTCGACCAGAACTTTGTAGGACTGGCCCCTGCTCTGGGTTCCCTTTAGAAGAATCACCTTGAACTCCTATTCACTTATTTACCCCTTGCATTCTTGTATCTGATCTCCCTACAGTAGCATTTTCCAGGCTGAATTCTGCCAAACCCTGTAGTTCTAAATAATAGGAAGAGTTCTGTGAAAATCTTTTGAGGATTATGGTATTTTCCTTCTAAAATATTAAATATGAAGTTATGGAGACACAAAAATACATGTGTGCATTTGGTGGGATGCTATAAAAATAGACAATTTTTGATATTTTGCTCTGAAGTTTCTGCAATCTGGAGCCATCCTTTAGGTGTTCAGTCAATCAACAAGCATGTATTGAAGACTTAATACTGTTTGTATTGAGGCAGTATCGCAGTTATTGAGGGCACAAAGCAAAAACGTGAAACAGATCCTGCCTTCAATAAGCTTACATTCTAATGAGAGAGGCAACATGTACTCTTATAGGCACATGCATAATGAATACAAGATACTTGGGGTGTGTGGACAAAAGGTAGGTACTTAATACATCTTCCTTCCTTCCTTCCTTCCTTCCTTCCTTCCTTCCTTCCTTCCTTCCTTCCTTCCTTCCTTCCTTCCTTCCTTCCTTCCTTCTTTCATTCCTTCTTAGGTTCCTTCTTTTTTCTTTCCTTTAAATGCCAACCAGAAGTGTTTATATTTTTATTCTTACAGGTAATAGGGATCCCCTTGGGTAGGTGAATGACATAGAGTGGGAGAATGACATTGGGGCAGCTAGGTGGTGCAGTGGCTAGAGATCCAGCCTTGGAGTCAGGAGGATCTGAGTTCAAATCCGGCCTCAGACACTTGACACTTACTTAGCTGTGTGACCCTGGGCAAGTCACTTAACCCTGATTGCCTCACACACACACACACCCCCAAAAAAAGGGAAAAAAAGGAGAATGACATTGTCAGAGCTATGCTTTAGGAAACTCTTTGGTAGCTGTATGAAGGATGGAGTGGAGAAAGACTGGAGGCAGGGAGACCACATAGGTGACTGCTGCAATGGTCCAGGTGAGAGGTGATGAGGACCTGAATTAGGTTGATGACCTTGTGAGTAGAGGAGAGGGGACATATTTAAGAGAAGTGGAAGGAGAAAAGACAAGATCTGGCAACTAACTGACCAGACAGTATATTTTGAGTCCCAAAGTGTTCCATGGCAAAATGAATCGAAAATCACAGCTCTATCCCATGTTTTCCCAGGGAGCTTTTAGTTCCACTTTGGGAAATGTGGGATCTTGTTGCTCTCTATTCCCAAAGAAAATTGTTATTTCTCATGGCTGAATGTATATACATTCTAATAGCTAAAAGGCTTTGGAAGAGGTATCCAGGGAAGCCAAAATATTAGCCCAAAGAAGAGGTGTATTAAGAGAGATTTACCTGGCCTTGAACATATGCACTGTTATCATAAATAGGAGGCTGATAAACTGTTTTCCATTCCCAGGGAAAAGGACCAGAAGAAAATGGGCTTATGTTATTTCACAAAGGACTTGGAGCAGATGTAAAGAAGAGTTTTCTGATGTCGAAGTTTCTGAGGCACTGAGATGTCAAGGGAGAAGTTTAAGCAAAGAGCAGACACATGTTACTTAGGTTGATTTAGATGTGGTCTTTCCTGAGGATAAAGAAATAACTTAGGCCACCTTTTGAGATTTCTTCCAGGCCTATGAGTCTATAATTTTAACTGTAAAGGAAAGTGAATGTCCATTTTAAAATACATTGATTTTTGAGAAGTCTCTCTGCGATGTTATTTATTTGTATATGAGATAGAGAAGAAATGAGGAACCTTTGTTCTTTAGAAAACCAAAAAGTTGCTCCAAGGATTCCTCATGAGAATGTTAGTTATTATTTTTTGTTTCATTTTTTCATTTCTTTTTTTTTCTTTTTGCTCTCTCCCAGCTTTCCTCCCCTATTGAAAAGAGAAAGAAAAAAAAATTCCTTGCAATAATTATGTATAGTCACGTAAAAGAAATTGTTTCCTTGGCCATATCCAAAAAAAATAGTCCCGCTTATGATTTAACCATAATGTAGCTGGTAATTTACATTGGTACGCTACATTCAGCCACCAAAGTGATTTTTTCTAAAGCACAGGTCCAATTATATCACCCTCCCTACTCAATAAACACCAGTGGCCCCCTAATGCCTCCAGGGTTAAATACAAAATGCTCTGTTTGGCATTCAAAGCCCTTCCTAACCCAGCCCCCTCCTAGTTTTCCATTCAGATTACATCTTATTCCTTGCCACGTACTCTTTGATTCAATGACACTGGCTTCCTGGCTGTTCCGCAAACAAGACACTCCATCGCTTGGCTCCAGGCATTTTCTCCAGCTGTCTTCTATGCCTAGAATGCTTTCTTTCCTCATTTCTACGTGCTGGTTTCCTTTAAGTCCTAACTAAAATGCCATCTTCTACTGGAAGCCTTTCCCAACCCCTCTTGATTCGAGTAGTGCCTTCCCTCTCTTAACTTCCTGTTTTTCCCCCAGATAGGTTGTTTATACATAATTGCTTGTTATCTCACCCATTAGATTGTAGGTTCCTTGAGGGCTGGGACTGTCTTTTGACCTCTTTTTGTGTCCCCAGTGCTTAGCACAGTGCCTAGCACCTAATAGGTGATTAATAAATATTTATTAACTGACTAACTGATTAGAAGATAGGAGCTATGGTTAAACAAAACAGAACAGTTAAATTCAATAGAAATGAACGATTTATTGGTTGTCTTGAGTGCTGATGAAAATGATAATATTTCAGATGTGTAGAATGTCTTTGGGTTTACAAAGTACATTCTTCACAACCCTGCATAAAAGTTGGTTTGATTAGAAGACTTTGAGGAGGTAGATGGAACTTTGGTGTACATTTTAAAGGGGACTTCTGGGCCTTTTCAAGAACTTTAGAAGTTGACAATCTTTATTATTGTTGTTGTTTTTAATCTTAGAATAATAAAATTGTAGAATGTGAGAGCTATAAAATATCTTGGTAATCATCCAGTCCAACCACATCATTTTTATAAATGAGGACCCTTGGTCCTAGAGAGGTTAAATTCATAATCAATTTTACTTTTTTCTTGATACAAGTCTTCTTTTCCTCAACACTGATTTATACCTTGTGCTATTCTTAGGTACATAAACCATGATTAACGCTGTTTTGGGCTAAAAAAATAGAGTACAGAGGTGCTGAATAGAGAAACACTTAAAGCATTCTGGTAATATGAACTATTGCTATTGTTACAGTCATTTCCATTGCTATACTTATTATCATTGTTATTATTCCTGAAGAACTGTGGTTCATCCTTTGTTTTCAAAGACGACTCTCATGGGGTGATGTCTTGACTTACATTATGAATTGGATTTAAGTGAGGCAGAGTTGCATAGTCATCAGCCTCATTCTCTCTTTCAGAGTTATTGAAGTCCAGTGGCAAGAGAAAAGTCAGGATGACTGGTGATGTCCTAGTATGCAGTGGGTGACCTTGGCATCTTTGATGTCTGGCCAAACTCTAAGCACTCCACAGTGTCTGTTTCAGTCCCCTTCATGGCTGTTGGAACAAACTGTTCTCATTTCCCATTCCACTGGGGAAAGTCTTCATGTGCTTGGGATAGACATCCCTGTGACTCACCAATGGTTTTGAGGCCCATTGGTTACCCTCTACTTTATTTAGCCTGTCTGCCAAGTCCATTTTCTGGGGTGCGGCTGTCCTGCGTGCTACAGCTTCTTGGAGCCGCAGGTGAAAGTTGGGTGAAGGTGAACAACAAAGGTGGATGAGCAGCCCTGATAAGGCCTCAGCAAGCTGTCACACCAGAGGTGCTTGAACACCCCACACACCTGAAGAATTAGGCAGAAATCTGGGGAGTGGAAAAGGGTTAAGATAATATGTATGGATGTGTGAAGAGAGAGAGAGAGAAGTTAACTCTACTATGAAAGGCGAAAAAGAGATTCTCACTCTCTTCCATTTAAGGGAAAAAATTTAATTGCTAAGTCTTTGGGCTGACTTTTTGAAGCACTTTGTTTCTACTCCTGAAGTCCTATTCACCTTGGCTTCAAGTGTGAACTTGACAATGTGTTTCAAGGCAAAGGTTAGCTACTAGAATAACGTGGCCACTAATGTTTAACCATCTACCTCTGTTTAATTTTCTATCCAAAAGGCACTTTGAAGTGATACCCTGGATTTAACTTTCTTCTGTTAAGTAGTGCTGTATATGTCACTTTTTTTTTCAAAATAAGAAAAGGATTTAAGTAGTCACATTTTAAGTGGAGTCAAATAACTGCCTCTTTTTCTAACAGTATTTTGGTTAATTTTTTATTTCCACTTTTTTAAGATAAGCTAAACTATGCAAACATCAAAGGGAATTCGCCAGGAATTTTGTTAATATTCTCATCTCAGCATTTAACATTAGTGTTATTTGCTTCTAAAAACATTTTCATATGACTTACCTCATTTCAAATGAAATGTTTTGTCCACATTTCCTGTTATTTCTAAGGTTCTTACAGAAATATTCAATGCAGCAAGATAATAATTGTAATTTCCCATCTCTAGCTTTTTGGTGTCGTCAGTAGCTATACACTACTACATCTGCAAGTTTCCTTTCTTTGGTAAGTTAAGATATATTTACGTAAGTGCAGATTCTTTAAAATATAGCTGAGAGATAAAAGTATTCAGTAATTAATGGAAAAGAACCTGCATGCATACATATGACCTGCTTTTAATGTTGGATACTAGACATGTCTTTTTTATGCTAATAAAAAATTTTGTGCTCAAAACAAAACAAAAAAAAGATGAAAGAGAGAGAAGAAAGGGGCAGAGCAGCATGGCCTGTGCATTGTCACCCCAAAGGAGAGAAAAGGGACCCTATGCAGAAGAAACTTTCTGTTTTTCTATCACCATTAGGAAACCCACTTGGACAATTTGGTTGTTTCCTCTGGGGCATGGAGGGAACACAGAAAAGTTGAGTCTGGGTATAATTGGCCTTTTGTATATATGGAACTAATTGGATGTTCATAATTTGGAGAGTGTCTGTATACTCCAATATGTCAAGGTTCCATGGCTTCATCTGTGTGGGTACTGTCTCTGCCAATGAGAATCCAAGTGCCACCAGACCTTTAGAGATGGTTATATGTACTATTGCTATGACCAGAGAATCCATTATCTAGTGGCCAGCCTTTCAGTGAGGAATACCTCTTGAGTTATCAAGACAGACACATGGAATCCATCTCAGAGTCTGTTCTCTGAGTCTTTCTAGTTCAGTAGGACCTGCTGGAGTTTGGGTCCTACTGGTAGAGCCTTTAAGAACCCAGCAATGAATTGAAGTAGGGCTTTAATGAAATGTGTTTGGGTGTATGTATGTAGAAAAGAAAGAGGCAGAGAGATAAAGAAAGGAAAAGAGAGACACCCAACCCAGTGGACTAAACGTTAAGAACCCCAGCTTCGAAGTGGTTCGAGACCTTACTCTCATGCTTTCCTGGCCTAAAAAACAATTCAAGCCTGAAGCCAGAAATCTGCCCAGAGATCTCACATTAAAACACTGCTTTGACTTAAGCCACACTTGCTCTGTTTTCTTTTGGTATTTAGATAGCAAGGTAAGTAAATATGAAATGTTCCTTGGTAAACAGATACACTTTACAAACTGAATGAGGAAGGGTAAGTATTGGACTGAGAATAATAGTTTGACCTAGAAAAGGGAGATGCCAGTACAATGCGGAAAAAAGCCAAACAAACAAGAAACCACTCAGCTGTTGTATTTCTTCCTTCAAGACGTCTCCTTCAAGGACTGAGTGCAGGGGCTGTTAGTAAGGTGGTGAATGTGAAAAATAATAGGGAGCATTTATATAGCACTTTAAGGTCTGCAAGGTGCTTTATAAATACTATCTCATTTCAATCTCAAAAAAAACCCTGGGTGCAATTATAATTCCCATTATATAGTTGAGGAAACTGAGGCAGGTTTAGTGATTAAGTGACTTGTCCAGGGTCACACAGCTAGTAAGGTACCTAAGGCCAGAAACGAACTCAGGTCTTTCTGCCTCCAGGTCTAGAATTCTACCTACTGTGCGGCCTAGCTATCTAATAGATCAAAAACAAACCAGGGGACTTGTCTGGTTACTCAGGCATTGAAAGGTAGGCATTATGTATATGGAAGGAAATCAGAGTCCCAGTAGATAACAGCAAGTAAAGTCTGTGTTTATGCGTATATTACAATCAGGTAAGAGAAGCAACATAGCCTAATGGGTAAACAAATGGCCTTAAAGCTAAGAAGACTTGGGTTCAAGTCTTATCCCTGACATACATTGGCTTTGTGATACTGGGCAAATTACCTAACCTCTCGGTGCTCTAGGCTCTGAAACTTTCGAATGCTGTAAAGTTGCAAAGAAGATGCTGACTTGGCAATGGTGGAGGGAGTTTCCTCATCTGGGAATGAATCACAGACCCAGTCCCTATCCCTATAACTCTCTGGTGAAATGTGGAGGAGTTGCCTCTCCGATGATTGGCAAATAGTATTGAAAATGAGAGAGAGAAAGGGAATAAGCATGTATGCTGAAGCATTGGGCTGAGCACTTTACCATTATTATTTCATTTGATCCTCACAACAACCTTGGTAAGTAGGTGCGATTATTACTCCATTTTGCATATGAGGAAACTGAGGCAGACAGCAGCCAAGTGACTTGTCCAGGGTTACACAGCTAGGAAATATCTGAAGCTGTATTTGAACTCACATCTTCCTGACTTCAGGTCCAGGGTTCTATCCACTGCACCACCTAGCTGTCTCAGCTTGGTCAGAATCGTATCTTTAACCAGCCAAACACCTCATTTCCTGATTTCATGAGAGAGGGGCACTGATTATGGATTATACCTATCATGTGGGGAAATACTTCATGTATTCTGAAAGCATGGATGGTGAGAGATGATGTGACATAGTGGTTACAATGCCAGGCTAAT